GGGCTTTTTCCCATTCCATATGAAATTGGAGATTGCCTTTTCCATCTCGTTGAAGAATGGGGTTGGTATTTGTATTGGGATTGCATTAAATGAGTACTCATACTTTTTGCATGCAAAAGACACTACAATCTGGAGCCTGTTTAAGTCCTATCTTCCTTGGCCTACCAGGTCTGTATTTTGAGCAGTTCAAAACTGCTTATCTTAATAAAACACCATCATGGTTTATAAATCCCTTCCTTTATGGCTTGCATAGGCCAAGAAAAATGTCATTTGGTCTAGAAAAACAAAGATTCAAGAAGTCTTCTGTTTTTAAACAGACACAAGAAAAACTTAACATAATTATGGAGCTGATGACCTAGTAATAAGAACTTACACTGCAATCCCAAAGGCTGACAATTTGAATCCATCAGCCACTCCGTGGGAGAAGGATGGGCAATCTCTTTCCCTGCAATTAACTGTCTCTGAAAACCCACTGGAGGGTCAGCTATGGGTCAGTTCCAACTCAACAGCACACCACAACCGCCACCTTCTAAACCCAGCTAATACACTGCTACACGCTAAGGAGAAAGTGTACTTCATGAAATAAGAACCACTTCCCTGTCCTGGTGCCTCCATGATGAAATTTAATGCTCCCTTTAAAAAATAAAGTGCAGCCAGAGTGCTCCTTGGAGCCAAGGATGGGGAAACTTCATCCCACATGCTTTGGACCTATCATTGGGAGAGGTTAGTAGTTGGAAAAGGACATCATGCTTGAAAAGGTGAAGGCTTAGCAAAAGATTAAAAGACCTTCAGTGAGATGGACTGACACTGTAGCAAAGGGCTCAAGATGATGATGAGGATGGCACATGACAGGGCCTGGTTGAAATCCATTGTTCATAGGGTTGCTATGAGCTGTAGTCAACTCAAGGGGACCTAATGACAATACGAACAACAGCCTGAAAGAAAGAACTTCACAGAACCATACAAATGACTCTCCAATGAATACAAAATAAAACGCTGAAGAGGTTCCAGTACAGTCATTAGATATGAAGAACCTGGAAGCCTGTACTCTTGCTTGAAATATGGAGTATTTCATAGTTGCTAATTACTCAAAAAATATGCTGTTGTTGTTGTTGTTAGGTGCTGTTGAGTGGCTTGCGACTCATAGTGACTGTATACAATAGCTCTGAACCTTGCTCTATCTTGAGAGAACTGCATTGTCTCTGACACAACTATCCCCATTACCCCAGTCACTGAGTCAATCCATCTCATCCAAGGTTTTCCTCACTTGAGTTGTCCCTCCACCCTTCCAAGCATGATGTGCCTCCAAAGTATGTCAGAAGGAGCTTCAAAATCTTTGCTTCCAAAGAGCAGCTTGGTTTCACTCTCTTCTTCCTAGTAGTCCAGTATATTCAATACTCTTCTCCAGCACCACAGCTCAAACACATCAATCCTTCTTCCATCATCCTTAGTCACTGTCCAGCTCTTGGATGCATAGCAAGTAATTGCAAAGACCATAGCCTGGATCAGGCGCACCTTAGTCTCTAGACTGACACCACTGCTCTTCAGTACTCTGGAGCAGTCCCTGACAGCAGATTTCCCCCAATATGTTGCAGGCTAGCCACACAACTCTGAATGGTTTTAATGTTGCCATCTGTGCCCTTCGTAATACACCAAGTTTTCAAGCCTACTTTAGCCTACAAGCAGCACAAAAGCAAGCAGCTCTGCCTCTCCCAGAGCCCTTCTACTGCTCTCCAGGAGCCACCCACTCAACCCCCATAGGTCAACGTGGAGGAGGCACTGAATCTAAGATCCAAAAAGTGCCACGGCCACGCTGCCTACTGACTTTCTGTGGGCAGGGCTCATGAAAGGAGCCAATGCACAGCCTGTACCCTCCACAATCAAGAAGCAATCTTGCTCTGCAACAGAGGGAGTCAACAGACAGAGACTAATGCAGCCACCAGCTGACAGTGCCTTGAGTCCTATTATTACCACATTATCGCTCTGGGATCTGTGCCTAAATGAAGCATAATTCCTCCCTGATGACATTTCCTTTTATCCTGGCTGGAAACTAAAAGCAGATCAATAGGGGCAATATATATGATGTCACTTCAATTATGGTGCCAGACGGCCAATCCACCCCTGCCCCCCCTCCACCCCCCGCCCAGTGTGTCTGAAACACAGAGAAAGCTCAATTCTTTCCAAAAATGGTTTAAATATGCTCAGGGAACATTCTTCCAGAAAAGCACTCTCTGCTATATTTGTCTATGTTACTATGATAGGAACTGTTTACATGGAATAGGGAAGGGTGAGAAATTTAAAATTCTCCTGAATGCTGGGGACGTGGTGTCTGAGATTCAACACAAGCAGGGGAAAGCAAGACTCAAAGCAAACAGGCTTGTAAAGATCACAAAGACTAAAGTTAATAGAGACAGTAATTGTCTTTTGTCCTGGACAAAAAGGCAATCCCACAGAATACGCTCTTTATTCTGTAAAATTTTCCCTACATCTGATAAATTCCTTTCCACTCTTCCCAGAAGAAGAAGGTAATAATCCCTCATATTATACACCAAATGAACTGGAACAACACATCAGCAGACAACTGCCAGAAGTCCAGGCTGGGTTTAGAAGGGGTCGTGGTATTAGGGAGATTGTAGCTAATGTTAGATGGATCTTAGCTGAAAGCAGGGAGTACAAGAGGAATGTCTATCTGTGTTTCATTGACTATGAAAAGGCATTTGACTGTGTGGATCATAACAAACTGTGGCTGATTCTGAGAAGAATGGGAAAACCAGAACACTT